ACGAACAGCACTGCGAGTGAGATGCACAGCACATTATGGCCATTAGGTGGAGTTAAAGAGCATCCTATGGTTTCCCTTTATGTCTTTTCTGGTGGCAACTCATAATTTTGTATTTACCCATCACCATCACTTTAATTTTCTATGGCATTGGTGATCGAGAACATTAGTGAGACCGAATCTCCCTAACGTGGAGATAAGCAGCAAATAAAGCCTTTTTATTAACATAAAATATATAGGAATACAATTTAGGATATCCCAACCATGAATATAAAGAGAAAAATTTTGTAAAAAAGTTTCTTTCTTCTTACAAAAATATGATTCTATTTAGTGGCCAAACATGATATTGCCTTTTCATTGCTCATAAATCTACCACTTGGTTGAACATAGGAAATATCTATCACTATCCTACTCAGTCATCGCTGCCACCATTCAAGAACACTTTGTATTTATTTCAGTGAAAGTGTACTCTGATTGGACGAGGTGGAGAGAAGGGGCGGATGATGTCACGCTCTCTTAATGCGTCACATCGAGCCAAGCTCGACCAATGTATATTTGCAAAAAAACTTACTTCCTGAAGTTAAAGGAGAACTATGAGGGGGGAGGGGGGATAGCTTTTCACTCACCTCATAGTTCTAGCCGACCTGTGACAATGAGACTGTCACAGGTTGGCTCAGTAGATCGGGAGGTGAGCGAACACATACCGGCGCTCGCTCACCTCTCAATCCTGTCACGGCTCTCTGCCGTGACAGGGGAGGGGCTGGATTCCCCCCTCCCCGCTCCGATCCGCCAGCGCTGACTGGCGGAACGGACGGGGGAGGGGTCGGGTACAGCTGGCTCTGCCTCTAGATAGGCAGAGCCACCTTCAGTCACGCAGCTGGGCGGATCTCGACATCGATGTCGGGATCCGCTCCGGCTGCGGCGTCTCAGTATACCGCGAGCTGTAGCTCCCTATATACTGAGCTTAGGGTGACGGGAGGACGCTAGTTTGTGTCCTCCCATTACCCTAAAGAGAACTATAGGGAAAAACACTGACCTCATAGTTCTCCTTTAAGAAATCAAAATAAACAGAAAATAAAACACATGTGACGCTGAATGGTGGAGTTAGGCAACTTAAATCAATGAGACAACTGCCGCACCCACGGATGCCTCAACACCCAGACAGTGATCTGGTAGGATTCAGTCACTGTTCGGCAATTAATGGCTCAGTCGATTTTCTTGCTGAGCTGGTTGAAAGGTTGGCTTAATCAAGACTCCTTAACCGGACTTCACAGGAAGATTCGTTAGGACGGATCCGGGAACATATTCAGACAGACACTAGAGAGTGTCTAAACACGTTCAATTTATTGTTTCACAGGCAGGGTTTATATACAAAACAGAAAAGAAACAAGCCATGGGTCATAGAACTGGCAGTTTGGTCATGCGGTGAGGAACAGGAAGTGGGGATAAATACAGTTTAAGATGGAAAGATACAAAGTACCACAAGATAAGAGAAGTGCGAATATACTGACTAAATGATGTTACAATCCTCTGCTAGTCTTGTCTCCTAATATGGTCTGTTAGTAAAGTGCATATACACTGAGTGGCCCGTTTATTATGACCACCTGACGTTTGTAGGCAAATTCGTTAAATGTTCAAGAGGGGCTCATTGTTAAAGTGTTTAAAGACCGGACTGTCAGCCGAAATCCTGGGTCTGAACGTGCGAATTGTGGCCGTCAGCGACTAGTCAATGTTAGGGCAGAACGGGGGAGGGGCAAGACTGGTACAAGACAACAGAAGGGCAACAGTGCCGTGTCAGATTCCTCGCATCACCTTTCACCATCTCGTGGAGTCACGAGGCGGCCCAATGAAGTCATCTCGTGGAGTTATCTCGTGGCCCAACGAAATACTGATGGGGTGGTCATAATAATCTGACCACTCAGTGTATAATAAGACTAAATAAACCAGCATATTATTAATACTGACCCTTATACTGGGTGAGTTTGACATAGTTCCATCTGGTTATGGCCAGCCTAAGAAGATCATTTGACCTACTTGGTAATAAGTGGTCACTGGGATCTGGTGAGTGAAGTGTGGGAGGGGTATATGCGTAGAGGCGGCCTCATTCTGATGGAAATAAATTTATGAGCACAAAAAGAATGGTTTCTTTCACATTCATTCACCGCGAGCCGTAGCTCGCTATATACTGTGCTTAGGGTGACGGGAGGACGCTAGTTTATGTCCTCCCGTTACCCTAAGGAGAACTATGGGGAAAAGACTTAACCCCATAGTTCTCCTTTAACAGAAAGTAACACTGTAAGAAAAAAAAAAAGTTTTTGTCAATGTCAACTACTGTGTTTCCCCAAAAATAAGACACTGTCTTATATTTTTTGTGGCTCAAAAAAACACACTAGGTCTAATTATCGGGGGATGGTCTTATTTTTTTTTAATGTATAACAATCCAAAGTTAATGCAAATCCAAATTAAATAATCCAAAATGGCAAAGTTGAGAACAGGGTAATCAGGTGTGCCGTACGTTTCCAAGAGCAATTTGGTAACCAGAATGAGGGAAGCGCGCTTTCACTATGGATTCCTCACAGGCGGAGTGCATTTGGTATCACTCCGCCTGTGACAGGAGCCGGCACTATAGAGGAAACATCGGCTTATGCGGCTCTGCTCCCTCCACTGCCGCCTCGCTTCCTCTATCGCTGGCACCGCTGATTCTCTCCCGCGGCTCTTCAAGTTCCCCCTTATGACACCACCAGCCATGGAAATGGTCACAACTAGGTCTTATTTGCGGGGTAGGTCTTATATTTTAGCAATTCCCAAAAATGGTACTAGGTCTTAATTTCGGGGTAGGTCTTATTTTTGGGGAAACAGGGTGATACGTGTCTATAAGAATGATTTTTTTAATGTAGTTTAGGATGATATCAATGCCCATCATATGTGTATTTGTTGCTGAGCAATAATAGTGTCTTCATTTATCTGGCCTGACTCGGGAAATTCAGCCCTCATTCTGCCTTCTGCAAGATATACCCCACACGACATCACCCCCCTCTTCCTTTCCATTTCCCAATGGGAACATCTTTGCTTATTAGCTTCTAAAAAGGTTATTCTCACTAATTGGCTACTCCCAACAACCCCTATACCATATCAGATTTAATTTCTTCATAGACTCATGCTTATAGACAAATTGGATTCTCACCATAGGGAAGTTTACTCATACTTGGTCTCCCTTTCTTTTGAAACAACTTTGAGATGTAATATCAGTGCCTTCCAACACTTCTCATGGTACAATAAGGCCAAGCTTGATGGCTCGTTAGGTAATCTAGATGTTCTATGACCCACAATTAATTATTCCTCTTCCAGTGGCGGAACAATCGCCATAGCAATCCAGGCGGCCGCTATGGGGCACAGGGGGGCCCGGCAGCCAGCACATCCCCCTGATACCGTGCAGGCCGCCTGGGTTGCTATGGCATCTCAGGCTGCTGGCTGTCACTGCCGGCTGTGAGGAGGAACGCGCCGCTATTCACATCACTCACAACCTGTCAGTGATGTGTGACCTCTTCATTGATATTTTGTGGCTTATCACCCGTAAGGTACGCCCCTTTTTCTTCTTAACACATATACGTTCCCCCTTGACACTCGAAATGTCCCTCATCTTCATGGTTGACTCTGATTACACGATTAACTGCTCATGATGGTAAAGCGATTTCCTGCATTATCCGCTGTCTTAGCAGTTATATTTTGTTTGTTAACTTGATTGTTAAAGTTAGTTACTACTAATGTCATAGTCATTGATCTTTCTTCTATTCCGACAATATAGTATTCTGACACTGCTTTAAAATGTTATCGTTACCATGCATTGGATCTCCATTTTACTGCCATATTTGTCCTTGCTTCTGTATAAAACCTTAATAAATATTACATGCGGGAAAATAAAGAAAAGATTGTGTCTTTTAAGGAGAACTATGAGGCGAGTGATTTTCACTCAACCTCACGATCATGTCCCTGCAGAGAGCCGTGACTGCTCCCTGCAGGGATTCCCCTCCTCCTCTCTCCGATCCTCCAGTGCTGACTGGCGGAACGGACGGGGGAGGGGGCGGGTACAGTTAGCTCTGTCTCTAGATAGGCAGAGCCAGCTGTCATTCATGCAGCTGGGTGAATTTCGACAGTAATGTCGGGATCCGTCCAGGCTGCGGCGTCTCAGTATATAGCGAGCTACAGCTCGCGGTATACTGAGCCGCCGCAGACGGGACGGATCCCGACATTACTGTCGAAATTCACCCAGCTGCATGACAGCTTTGGGTGACGGGAGGACGCTAGTTTATGTCCTCCTGTGATCCTTAGGAGAACTCTGGGGAAAAACACTTACCCCATAGTTCTCCTTTATTTGTCCAGTTTTGCAGGTTACTGCTATTTGCATATTGTCATTACTCAATGATCATCAATTAACCTAACCTTATGAATAAGAAAAAAAACACATAATCAACAAAATCTTTATGTGATATTTATTGTGGGGCAAACACATTTCTGTAGAATTTAGAACGAATGACGGAGGCATCTGAAGGAGCCAATTCTGGGGCTTGAGGCTCCCCACTCGCTGTATCTCTTGTATTCTCCGGGTCTCAGGTAATACTGACGTCCCCTGTAGTTGGGCTCCTCATAGAACATCCAGAAGCCTTCATGGACATGGGCAGAGTGGATGTCATTGTAGCGGAATCTCTCATAGACATTAGTACAATCCTCAGTGAACTCCATCATCTGACCTCTGAAGTCTTCTTTCTCATAGATCCTGATTCTGAAGGAACCTTGATGCTATAAATAGAAAACAATGACAAATGGTCATTTATGTGACATTGACCTCAACATTTATATTGGTACACTGACCAAAACCAATGAGGAAAGGTTCAACTGCACATGAAAATGTCATTACCCCTGCAGGAAGCTCTCCAGTTCCCTTTACAATGTGATCACAGGGCAGGATTTAGCCTCTTTGGAGCGCTAGGCATTCCTCCCTCCACTTTAACTTTCACTTGAATCCGCTTTCTATCACCGCAAGTTCCTTTCTTACCCCTTTGCTGCTTTTCATAGCTGTCTCTGTCGGTGGTCATTGACCTCAACAATCATCTCAGGAAAGCTTGCACCGGACAGTGTTGCTGGAAGTCCTGCATGGACATTACTAGGGGGATACCTTTTGTCTTAAAACATCAACAAAAAGGTCTGCAATGGCAGGGTTGAGTCAGCAGCCGTTTTTAGAGAGCCGCCATTTTTCATTAGGGTTTTCTACAGGAATGGGACACAAGAGATAATTTTTTAACAGGGTTATCTACAAAAGGGTGAAGAGTTTGAGGAAGGCAGGAGAAGTGAACAATCTAGGACAACATAGCTGAACTTGAAAGTGAGCTGAATTGAAAAATTTTTCCAAATCAACTATGTTGTCCTAGATTGTTCACTTCTCCAAACTCTTCACCCTTTTGTGAATATCCCTGTTAGACTTGTGTCAACCTTCAGCCCATGGCCAGTGCTCAGTTTGTAGGTTGAAACAAGGGAACACAAATGTAAAAGAGGGTTTTAAAAATACATATTATTGTTCCCTAAAAAAGGCTATGAAAAAGGAGGAGAGTGTTGGAAGCTGCCAACCATCTTTTCTCTTCCACGATCTCTAAATATTTTGTGGGCCAACTTGTGCCTAAGAAGAAAGTAGGTCCGTGGTTACTAGAGTTTACCGCACTGTACGCATGAGCACTGCTTGTTGCCTTTTGGAAAAACCTGACTGGCCATAAACCAATGTAAAAATAGCCAGTACCTCATCATATCTTATTACCTGGGGGCTCAGACGACAAGATCTAATGGAGTCATTGTAGCCCATCCATTGCTGGAAGTCGGGATACTCTCCTCTATGGAGGAAGTACTGGTGTCCTCTGTAGCTGGGTTGCTCATACAGGATCCAGTTTCCACTTTCTACACGGATGGAGTTGCAGCGTCTGAAGTATGAGGTCAGGTCGGAACATTCAGAGCTACACTCGTAGGAGCGACCCTGGAAGTTCTTGTCCTCGTAGAAGATGATCTATGAAATGGAAATAGAAACATTTGTTTTTGTGCACAGATAAATCAATGCTTCTCTTTCTTAGTCCTTCATGTGTACAATAATGAAATCAATTACAATGTAAGATATAGTTATTGCCAGCTTTGCTGCTCTCTTGTGAGAGAGGAGTTTCTAAATTCCACTCTCTGGTCATCAATATCTCATTCCTTCCCTCTGTTCTAGTGCTGCAGTCTCCATCAGTCTCTTTGGCATTTAACACTTCCAGAAGTCTTGGATGCCAGTGGTCCCCACCATGTGCTGTGGTTCTCTGTTCCATAGCCTATGTCAGTGATGGCGAACCTTGGCACTCCAGCGGTTTTGGAACTACAAGTCCCATGAGGCATTGCAAGGCTCTGACAGCCACAGACATAACTCCCAGAGGCAGATGCATGTTGGGATTTGTAGTTTTGCCACAGCTGGAGTGCTAAGGTTCGCCACCACTGGCCTATGTCATTACAGGACACAACATGTGACACAGGGGTTAGAGGATAGAACTATGGTGTGCAGCAGGGGACACAGGCATCTGACCCTCCTAGAAGTGTTAAATGTAGTAGAGACTGAAGAAGACTGCAGGGCTGGAATGAAGGGAGGTATGGTGGACTGGCCATCAGAGAGGTGAGTATGAAAGCTTTCCATCCGCAGGGACCTTTGACTGGGATTTCCTTTAAACTGACAAGGCCACATGCCGGGTAAGCTATCTGCTTATTGGTTATTGAATGCCATCAATGGAGATCTGTTTGGCACAAGGTGGTCAGTGCTCAAAGGGCTTTGTGGTATAGGTAAGCACAACCGGAATGTTATTAAAGAGTCTCTTTTGCTAAAAAAAAAATTCCCTACAAAGAAGATAGTTAATAGTCAATTTTAGACCACTCACACTGCCAATCTCTGCTGTCCTGAAGAGAACCAGCCCTTGAAGAATCTTCTTCAGAATCTGATATTTCTGGGAGTGTCAGATGTGCTTGGTAATAATAATTCAATATGCATTACTATGTTATCTTAAAGAGTAGGTAAGCCCAAATCTATTTTGCAGTGTGTTTGGGACCATGTCTCACTGTATACAGTTCTCTACAGCAGATCGTTATTTTTTGATCTGTTGCAAAGTTTCCTACCTGGAGATCCTGCCATTACCAGCACTTCCTGTTGCAGGCTGACAACACTTAGCCCCTGCCTTGAAATTAGCCGTGTGAGTTCCTTCAGTTGGCTGTTGGGCTGTTTATCTGATACACCTGACCGGCAGCACAATGGTCAACCAAAGGAGTGCACACAGCAGACTGACCACATTAAAGAGCAATTCCACTTTTGTTGAGGAAAAAATTGATCCTCTTTGGGTGATCTGTGTACATTGCAGGGATATTAAGCAACTTTGTTGCAGTTTCCAATCTGTTTCTGTTCAGAAGAAAACGCTTTTTGTTGCAGCGTGTCTTTTCCAAACTGATCCCTGAATTGGAGGATCTGGATTCCTTATAATCAGCTGTTGGACTTCCTGTGTTATGAGGAAAGGTGCAGTGTCGGCATTCCCTTTAGTAGTATTTAACCCTTAGGCAGTATCTTGCCAAAAAGAAAATGCTATTGCAAGCGAGGCCACAAATTATACCTGCATCTTAGTGCAGACATCTGGTCAGCCAATCACAGCAGCAGGAAGTGACATTTCATGGTGTGTTCCGTACATCAACTGTGAATGGAACCCATCCAGGTCGCCATATTGCATTGAATTGTTTTGACAGATTTAGAACATTACACAGTTTTAAATGTAAAAGGAATTCTGAATAACATGAAATTACAAAATGGCTTGTGCAACACTTAAATATGTTATAATAATGGGGGTTTTTTAAAATATTTTTTTCATTTTTTTTTAAGGTGCAGTTACCCTTTAAGAGAGGAAACAATATAGAGTGAGACATGATGCCGAACATACTGATGAATAGATTTAGAGTTCACATACACAATAGGCAATGACAAGGTTATTTCCAAATCAATAACCTAGTGAAAAAAATGAAAAGTGACTCTGATCCATACACAGTGCCATGTCTATAAGGAATCATTCCCAGGCGGCATCTCACTGGGGGGGCGGGGCGGTAGGTGTGGGGGTGTTAGAGGGGTGGACAAAGGGTCCCAGGTTGCTATGAGCTCTGTCCAGCTTACTGCCAAGCTCACTGACGTCATTGGTTGCCAGGAGCTAAGTGGGACACTCTGGCTGGCGTCCTGCCAAGCTCTTGGCAACCAGTGATATTAGTGAGCTTG